GCCTCTTTGGGTGCACATGTTTTGTTGATGATCTCCCTGCATGGAAAGATAAACTTGCTACAAAATCCCTCAAGTGTCTTTTCCTCGGCTATTCTTGTCTGCAAAAAGGCTATTGATGTTACTCCCAGATCTTAGGCGGTACATTGTCTCTGCATATGTCCGATTCTTTGACACTAGTCTGTTATTTCCTTCTACTCCAAACGAGTAAAATGTTTCTAGTAAGTTACAATCCTCCTCTCCCGATGTCCTTAATCTCTCAAATGCACCCGCCCCTATATCTATCCCCACCCACCTTTCACACCTATCAATGGAGACCACATCCGCCACCCACTCATCAAGACTCGTCCCCTACTAGAGGCTACTATGATACCATATTGTCATGATAACTGATAATAAGAAATTCAGGCGCACAAAACAAAAGAAAAATAAAATAAAGGAAAGTTAAAGTTCTTGTGTTATAAAATGCTTGGAGCATAATGATAGCTTATCTGGGACAGCACAGCATGAATAAAGAATGAATAACTTGATAGTAATAACACTGATTATAGACATTTCAAAAATCAATGATCAATAAGATCTGAAAGCAGGTCCATAACCTGTTTAACTTCATTCCACATGTCCTTTGCGGAGATGCCGTTGTAAGAACCAGATATAACAAAGACAGGGCATTCTGAGATGTGAACATATTCAGTCTCTTGTGCTGCAATTGCAAATGTGACCGGAGATTGCTCATTTGCAGTCCTGTAGATGTACATATCAATTAACTTATAATTCTTTTCATCCATTGTGTAAAAATAAATGAACAAGTTAGAGAGTTACTTGTGATGTAGAAGCACGCCATGCACCCCATCAGGCCTCCTAGCATGAGATAATATGTATCTTGAATGTTAGAGTAAAGTAGAGGCAAGATGTGGGGATGGGGAAAGCAATAAAATGGGAACATTTTCATGTACACAGTAAATCAACTGACAATTTTCTTACTTTATCTTTGAGTTGAAGTGCTGACCAGTAAATTCAGAATTTCCTCCAACAGAATTCTGAATATACACAGCAAATTGTTTGCACTCAATACCTCAAGAAAACGAATAAGTATTCAAAACCAACATACTGTAACAGTAACAGTCAGCAAAAACATTTCACTTACAGCCCATGTGAAAAGCAAGGTGACATCTGCTGTTGTTTTGGCCAAATTACTCAGCTGTATCAAAAAAATTGACGGATTATCATTAACTTTGTGTATAAAACTAGAACCTAGATTATAATGAAGTAACCTTTGCCTACCGTATAAGTAAAAACTACTCTCCTTGTAGTTATGGGGTATAACAGGTGAAATCTGGCGACAAACTATTTTCAGTGCTGGATCAGGTTCTGCATTTGAGCAATAGAGATGATGAATGTAAGAGATGCAATCCAGTATAATTTGTAAATATCCTAATGTACTTGGAAGTGTGGCAATTAGCCTGGCTTACCCTCATATACTGTCCAAGCCCTTGGGTATAATGCGTGATATGTGGAACTTGTTCCATTCATATTCCAATCCCATGATTTAATCCCCGATGCTGGATTTTCTCTAAATGAAATTGATGAATAAGATTTCATTTTAAAATTCAAATATAGAGATTCTAATCCTCTCCGATATTGGTCAGAGATTCCAATATCATGAGGAACAGCACCAAGAACCTTTCTTGATGCCATTTGCCCATCATGTAAAAGTTGCATCTTTCCAGGATCATGCATCAGCACTGCTGCAGCAAAGTCTCTTTGAACACTAAGTTCAAGTTTTGGAAATAGCGTGACTAGTGAAAAAGATGAGTAAAAATGGACATCGTACGTATTCCACATTTGATACTCAATTCCTTCAAGATAAAGAAACTGACCAATGTTTTCTTCCCCTTCTTGGAGAAGACTCACTCCATATGCAGACTTTGATGCAGGTGGAGTTTGTATTTGCTCAACTACTGAGGTAAAACTTTCAAGAATGCTAATCCCCGTTATCTTTTAATGCACTAGCCATTATTTAATTACTCAATAAAAGATGTTAAGCTAGTTCCACAACACTTTGTTTCATTAAACTATAGTAGAAACCAACCACATTGTCTCTATGAACAAAACACTATTTAAATGCAGAAACAAAAAGTGAATTTATCTATTTTGTACCTTAGTGCCTTCGCTCACAAGCAAGGTTGCAGAAACAAGTTTGTGAGGATGGTTTGCATGATTGCGACAAGTGCTCAACTATTGTGACTTAAAACTACTCCTTTATCCTTTATAGCAGAATATATTATCAACAAAGAATAAGCAACATGACTACTTGTCAAAAATGGCTAAGCTAATAACAAAACAAGTAGCTATTGAATCTATTGTTTGGAGCAAAACAATACATGTATTACAATAAAAAGTAGGCCAATTTAAGACTGTTGAGAAATGACACTGTTAGCAACAGAAGTTACAGAAATTTTTCTAGCAGGACGACTAGACTTCTTCGCATAAGAGGAATTCCAGTCTCCTCCATCTTGAGCATAATAGTCCATGGGATAATCTCCACCAAAATCATTGGTCCCCTTTGCATCTCCGCAGCTCGAGTTAGAGCAACAATCCCTTTTATTGCAACCCTTAACATCTTCACAACCCTGTTTTTGCAATTGAGTTTTCTCCCACCAACCAGGTATCAATCCCAATGCTATCTCAGCCTCGAAAGGAGTAAGAACCGGTTTCAGAAAAGCCTCTCCCCAATCAATAGAGAGTCTAGGACAAGCAATCTGAATCCAAGCATCCACAGAATCCTCAAACAGAGCAATCCTCGTGGGACTTAACTCCGACATCAAAACCACAGTATAATCAAACCCTTTATCACTCATCTTCTTTTCCAATCTCTCCAAAATCTTAGGATTCCCTTGCCTACCCAAAGTCCCTAAAACAACACCCCAATTCCTAGCTTCCCCCGCTTTCAAAATCGCGTTTTTCCTCGACCCCTTCATACCCACATGATCATATTCCTCCAAAAACAACTTCCCCACATAAGGATCATATCTAAAAGCCTTAACCCCCGGATTCGCTATCATAAACGCTTCAAGATGAAACCTTCCATCCGAAACAAACACCAAAACACTTTCCTCACAATCCTCCAACACCTTCTTCCCTATCCTCGGCGCAGTACATCCAAGAACCTCACCAGCAGACAATGGCTTTGACTGCGGAATCAAAACCCTAAACCCTAATTTCTCCAATTCAGGCTTCACAGCCCGAATCCCAGACGCAAACTGAATCGTCCCAGCAAGAATTATACTTTTACCAAGAAACCCTAAATTCAACCTAACAGTATCAACTAAATGATCAACATCAATCTTAATATCTACAAAAACATACAGACAAGGGATTGTAGTTGAATCAATCGGTACCAAACAACTATGACCGTAATGGATAAGAAGATCAGCACCAAGAGCGAGAGCTGAGAAATCGTCAATGCAACAAGCACCGTAGGTAACGTCGCCGAGGACGTAACAGTGAGAGACGTTGGCGAATTTGGTAAAGATATCGGAGAGGATGAGAGAGTACATGAGAAGACCTTCAGGGAATTGAAGTGCGACGCGCTTGGCGCCGGTGGAGAGGACGCGCCAAACGCATTTGTGAACTTCGAAATTGTAGTTTGAGGGAAGAATCGATATGGCGGCGTTGAGAAGAGGGTCGTTGAGGATTGAATCTGGGATTTGGCTTTTGATGAATCGTTTAGGTTTTGGTTTTTCTTGCTTTGCGGTTGTTGTGACAGTAACAGTGACAGAGCTTGTGTTGTTACCTTGTTCCAACAACTCCATGCTTTGTTTGAAGCTTTTGTTTCTGTTTTTCGCACTTCCTCTGTAATTGAATAGAACGAGAATATTGAATTGTGTTTATGTGCAACTCATATAAACCCTAACAAATCCCTAAGTCTTTGTTTTATCAATAAAAATAATAATACAATTTATATTGTGAATATTATAAAAAAAATTGACAGAAAATTTTTTTGTTTATTTGTTAGTATAATTTGAAATTTCTTAAATTCAGGAGAAAAAATTTATTTCACAAATTTTCATCTCCTAACAATTGTGTGTATTTTTTTAATCAGAAAAATATTAATTTTAGTGGAATTATTCTTAATTTCTTTAAAAACAAATTATTTTGTTTTGTAAGATAAGATAACTAGTTATTTTGGTTTAATTTTAAAAAAAAAAATTATAGTATTATATATATATTGCTTTAAAATATTAAAAAAAATATATAAAAATTTTAAACAAAAATTTAATTTTAATAATTAATTTTAAATTTTCATTTTATCTGAAAATTCTAAAAAATCATTTAAGTTTAAAGAAATTTTAAATAGAATTTTATAAAAATTATTTTTAAAATATATGTTTATGTTATAAAATATCAAAATTAATATTTAAAAAAATGATTATTTAAAAATTATAATATTTTAAAAATATTTCTATAAAATCCATTTAAAAAAATAAAATAAAAAATACTAAATAGAGTATAGTATATGAGGTGTTCCAATAATATAAGCAAAATAATTTATTAAATAGGTGCTCCAATAAACAAAGTTACACGATAGAAGACAATCTTTAAGATTAAAATTAGGCTAAAGTTTGAAATAGTATATCAATTTAATTGATATAGATTATGAGCATATAATGTTTTTATACGACAATCAATCATATTTTTCTTCAAATTATAGAAAAAAAAACTCTTTTATTTTAACTTAATTTATATTTAAAATTAAAACGAGAAATTAGATAATATTATATAAAAAATCAATTGCCTAGTCTATGAAAATGAAGTTGCATTGTAATAATAGTAATTGGTAAAAGATACAGTAATGTTGGCGAATTTAGTAAGACCCCTCAGGATCAAAATTAACAAGGTGTGTATATGTATAGTAAATGAACATGAAACAGAAGTTACAGTTTGTAATGGTATACGCATAGACATAATCTACACAGGAATCATGTTTTTTCCATTGCAGGTTATACATATCTCTTGCAAGTTAAGTCATATATAACTTGAAATAGACTTCTGGATCCACTCTCCTCCTTCCACTTTAGAAGCTGAGCTACTTTCGAAAAACCAGCATGGCATCTAGACACGATTTCTTCCTCGTTTATATAAGATTTCTCACTTTCGTCGTGTTGAGTCACCTTTTCTTTTGATAATGCCCACTGCATTGCCCATATGGCTAATGGGCGCATGTAACATAAAGATCTATATTCATCTTTCGTATTCCAAGCTTCGGGTGTTTGAAAAGAATAACTGTTTATCAGATATAACAAGAATCTTAATTAGTTATTAGTATAAAGAAAGAAACAAGATGCATCGATCTTTCAAGTTTAAAAGGGATAACTTTACCCGAGACCGTTGGTGGACCATGCAGCTTCATATATCCCCTCAGCAGTTTGAAATGCCATATCAATCATGTTTTCCTGAATCATTGTTGCAGCTACGGCGTATGTCACTCCGGACCATATTTCTCGTGATTGCATTGATGACATGTCAACTTGTCCATCAGGTAACATTCCATTTACAGCACCACGTTTCCCGCCTTTCACTTTCATAACGTTGTTGTCAAAAACCACCTGAAGTGCACTTTTAATCATGTGTTCTTCGACAATTGGTGAAAGACCGCATGCTCTAGCATACCTGCAAAACAAGAAACAGAAAGTTCCAATTTTATTTTAAATATTACCAAGATGAAGCTTAGCTACAGGTGCAAAAATATAGGTTCAAGCATACCATTGGCCAGCTAATTGATCAGCTTGTATGGATGAACTCGGACTTCCACCACTGCTACTTCCACGACTGCTATCATAATTGAAGTATGAACCATTCCATAACTTTTCATATACAGCCTTTGCTTTTTGATATTTGTGCCAAAAATAAACTTCAGAACCCTTATCTCCAATCTCACGTGCCAAGGCTGATGTTGCCTGAAGTGCCGCTACCCACAATCCACCACTATAAGCACTTACACCAGTTACAGACCATGTGTCATAAGTTTGATCTGGGAAACCTTCGTTCTCAATCATTCCGTCGCCATCCTTGTCAAATTGCTCCATATATGCAATTGCAATATAAACAGAGGGCCAGACAGCTTGTGCAAACTTCTTGTCACCGGTAGCAACCACATCCCTGTAAACCTGAAGAACGAACTTTGGATTCAAGTCTTTCCACCTATCTGTGTTATAAAGATTATATCCATTTACTTCAAACCACGGGTCAGAGATTCCAATATCATGAGGAACAGCACCAACAACCTTTCTTGATGCCATTTGCCCATCATGTAAAAGTTGCATCTTTCCAGGATCATGCATCAGCACTGCTGCAGCAAAGTCTCTTTGAACACTAAGTTCAAGTTTTGGAAATAGCGTGACTAGTGAAAAAGATGAGTAAAAATGGACATCGTACGTATTCCACATTTGATACTCAATTCCTTCAAGATAAAGAAACTGACCAATGTTTTCTTCCCCTTCTTGGAGAAGACTCACTCCATATGCAGACTTTGATGCAGGTGGAGTTTGTATTTGCTCAACTACTGAGGTAAAACTTTCAAGAATGCTAATAGCGGTATCATTTTGACGTGATATATTATTGGTATTCTCTGAATCAGATATGAACCCATCCAGGGAAAATTTTCTTTCTCCTATGGTAACTAAACTATGCACAGGAGGCGAACCATCTGCACACAAGAAAAAATCATGAAGAGAAATTGGCAATGGTAGCACAATATGTCATGTATGTGAGGTAAGGAGAAATTTAAAAGCAATACAAACTTGGGCTAATTATCTGATAAATAGGATTCAAACTGTAAGAGCTAAAGATACCTGTCCAAATTGACCCCCCAGAATTCAGGAAGTAAAGTTCATTGAAAAGGGTAGTTGGGTACCTGCACGCAACTCTGAGAGCATTAGATTTTGACTGCAGTAGCAGGCAGTGAATAAAGAACTAATAATTACCATTCAGGAAATCTCTTGTCCTCAAGGATTGGTCTTTGCCAATCTTCAATCTGGGACTCCCACTGACAATGTTCTACAAACACCAATTCGTAGAAGTTTGAGTAAGTCATTTATCGATAGTATCAATAATCACAAATAAGCATGCATCTATACACTTTTGTCAATATGGTGAAAACTTCATCTTAAACCGACACGAAAAAATATTAATATAGCCTGCCTCTTAAAAGTCTATTTATTGATATAATTATTCACAAATAAATATGCCTCTGCACGGTTTTGTCAATATGGTGAAAACTTCATCTAAAATTGGCATAAAAATATAAATAAATAAATATAGTCTGCCTCTTTAAAGCCTATCTATTATGCTAGATGAAATCTCCACATTTTAGGTACAAAAGTTAATGGATTTCAGAAAAGATGATTACCAATAATAGCATCATGTGCAATATCTGCAGCAGCATCTCCTCCAGTACCATAAAATTTGGTGTAGCGCCTGATAATCAAGTTTCATTAGTTTTGTGTGGTCTATAAACAAGAAATCTTCTTATACATGTTTTCTACCACCAACCTGTTATAAGCCCGCCCTCCAGGGAACTTAGCTTCAGGGCTGTCCCATGCCAATGAAAATGTCACAGTGCGCTGAGCATCAGGTGGAATAGTCACAGTTGCTGCAATAGCTGCTCCAATGGATGATCCTGGTTCTGAAGGCGCCAACGTTTCAGTAGAATTCAGACGGTCAAATGACCCGTGCTGAAAAGATAATGAGTACCATCATTTAGTTTAGTGAAATAAACGCAGGGATGACAGGAGGCTTGATATTATCAAACTTACAATCTTACATCATTATAAAATTAATATCTAGTGGGAACTATTATTTTATCCGGGAGTATGGCATCATTTGTTTTAGCGACACTTTTTTTTCCCTTAAAGTTCATTACTCTCTTTCTCCCATTATAACTTTCCATTTTATTCCCTGAACATATTTACTCTATACCATATGCCTCTTTGGGTGCACATGTTTTGTTGATGATCTCCCTGCATGGAAAGATAAACTTGCTACAAAATCCCTCAAGTGTCTTTTCCTCGGCTATTCTTGTCTGCAAAAAGGCTATTGATGTTACTCCCAGATCTTAGGCGGTACATTGTCTCTGCATATGTCCGATTTTTTGACACTAGTCCATTATTTCCTTCTACTCCAAATGAGTCAAATGTTTCTAGTAAGTTACAATCCTCCTCTCCCGATGTCCTTAATCTTCCAAATGCACCCGCCTCTATATCTATCCCCACCCACCTTTCACACCTATCAATGGAGACCACATCCGCCACCCACTCATCAAGACTCGTCCCCTACTAGAGGCTACTATGATACCATATTGTCATGATAACTGATAATAAGAAATTCAGGCGCACAAAACAAAAGAAAAATAAAATAAAGGAAAGTTAAAGTTCTTGTGTTATAAAATGCTTGGAGCATAATGATAGCTTATCTGGGACAGCACAGCATGAATAAAGAATGAATAACTTGATAGTAATAACACTGATTATAGACATTTCAAAAATCAATGATCAATAAGATCTGAAAGCAGGTCCATAACCTGTTTAACTTCATTCCACATGTCCTTTGCGGAGATGCCATTGTAAGAACCAGATATAACAAAGACAGGGCATTCTGAGATGTGAACATATTCAGTCTCTTGTGCTGCAATTGCAAATGTGACCGGAGATTGCTCATTTGCAGTCCTGTAGGTGTACATATCAATTAATTTATAATTTTTTTCATCCATTGCGTAAAATAAATGAACAAGTTAGAGAGTTACTTGTGATGTAGAAGCACGCCATGCACCCCATCAGGCCTCCTAGCATGAGATAATATGTATCTTGAATGTTAGAGTAAAGTAGAGGCAAGATGTGGGGATGGAGAAAGCAATAAAATGGGAACATTTTCATGTACACAATAAACCAGCTGACAATTTTCTTACTTTATCTTTGAGTTGAAGTGCTGACCAGTAAATTCAGAATTTCCTCCAACAGAATTCTGAATATACACAGCAAATTGTTTGCACTCAATACCTCAAGAAAACGAATAAGTATTCAAAACCAACAACAGTCAGCAAAAAACATTTCACTTACAGCCCATGTGAAAAGCAAGGTGACATCTGCTGTTGTTTTGCCCAAATTACTCAGCTGTATCAAATAAATTTGAGTGATTATCATTAACTTTATGTGTATAAAACTATAACCTAGATTATAATGAAGTGACCTTTGCCTACCGTATAAGTAAAAACTGATACAGGAAAGCTACTCTCCTTGTAGTTATGGGGTATAACCGGTGAAATCTGGCGACAAACTATTCTCAATGCTGGATCAGGTTCTGCATTGGAGCAATAGAGATGATGCAATCCAGTATAATTTGTAAATATCATAATGGACTTGGAAGTGTGGCAATTAGCCTAGCTTACCCTCATATACTGTCCAGGCCCTTGGGTATAATGCGTGATATGTGGAACTTGTTCCATTCATATTCCAATCCCATGATTTAATCCCCGATGCTGGATTTTCTCTAAATGAAGTTGATGAATTAATAAAATTTCTTTTTTAAATTCAAATATAGAGATTCAAAATCTGGAATTAACAATGATGAAATAGTTTATAATGGCTCACTTCAATGCATCTGGCTTCCCTGAGCATAGTACGGTTGAATATTTTTCAGCATTTGGACGTTTCACGAAAACCTAAGATAAAAGAATTTTGTATGTAAAAAAAGTAAGAAAATAGAAGTAATATGGATGTGAAAAATAGAAAAAGTAACTGAAAATAATGTGTAGAAGTTACAGAAAACTGATTTGCTAAAACAGGTTTGTCTTCACACGCTAGAGGGAAGAGCTGCCAACGCTGAAAGTGGCCTTTAAAAGTTCTTCCGATGCTTCCTGCACTGTTTAAAAGAAAACAAGAGAGTGAAATGAAATGTATGTTGATAAATAGTAACAAGAGAAATTGTAAGGAATGAAAACTGACCCAACGCCACCTAAAGGAACGCCGTGGGAAGAAGTTATATGACGTTTAGCAAAAGGATCGATGACTCCAGTCTGAGAAAGAAGGAAAGAGAAAGAATGATGATCGGAATAGATAAGGAATAGAAATGATGAATTGAGAGATTACCTTTCCTTTGGCTTTTTCTTCACGAATGTAACGCCAAAGTCGAAAACCAATTGGAGCCTATAGAAAATGAAAATGAAAATGAAAAGGAAGGAAGATAGTAGTAGGTAACGTAATATAACGTAAAACGTACAAGATGAATGATATCTTTGATGGATAAGACGAATTCAGATGGAAGATTTGACTCATCGTTTAATTTGCGTTTCCATGTAAGTTGTGGAGGCTCGCCATTTCCTACCATTTTCTCTGATTGCATGAAACAATGAGCGTAAGATCGAACAAGTCAACGCTTACCAGGATGGATCCAATGAAATGAATTCAAGGAACAAGAAGAAGAAGAAATATTCATATGTGACAAACAAGAATATTTTAACTGAAAACAATAAAAATAATAGTCACATTTGGACGCGCTCACTTTTTCTTCCTCCATGTCCTACACACTTATTTGCATTATTTTCTACTTCTATTTTATTATTTACCTACTTTTCTTTTCCTTTTTAATACCAACTCTACTCTTTTTTATTTCTTTTTTACAACGACCCAATTGCAAGAGCGGAGCTCTACCAACTGAGCTATATCCCCCTGAGTCAAGTTGGAGCATGCATGAAGGAGTCCAATCCGTCTTTTATTCTTTTCCTTGGCGCAGCTGGGCCATCCTGGACTTGAACCACCTCGCCCGTGAACTTTTTACCAAAATAACACAATTTTTCAAAAAAATTATCAAAATACCTTATATTTCAAATTATTTTTCAAAATATCTCATTTAGAGTACTGATTACATGGTGGCGCAAGGTGAATTGATGACCCTTCATAATAGCTTGAAAGATGGCGTCAATTGTATTGGAGACAACTCACCTCATTATGTCTCCACTCCAATTGGCACATGAGTTTAAAACTTACAACAAAGTCGCCAATTGAGATGGAAACATGGTGCATTATATAAATTTTTTTAACAAAAATAAATAACATAATTATTAATTAAAAATACTATTACATAAATTAATATTGATGGCTGGGTTGGCCATACTGGCCATCGGTTCCACATCCCTTAGGCACCTTCACTCGTTGCACTCGTTCCCCTCGTTGTCGATTCATGCCAAGTGTCATATCCCAGTATTATTTTTAATTTTATTATTTTTTAAATTCTGATTAACTTAATAAATTAAAGGATTCGCTCAGAGTAAAAGATTCGCTCATCATCGCCAAAACCAAAAGACCCTACGAGCACCACAAGAAAAATCACAGCGGAAACCATCGCACAGACCGTCAAACCCAAGCCCGACCTGTTTCCTCTTTTTATTTTTATTTATATTATTTGTTTTGTTATTTTAACTAAAATTACCCTCTTTTTTTAATTCTAACTTAACACTGGCCATTTTTCTTAAAATTGAATTTATTTATGTTTTAAAACTAATTACAAGGAAGCTGTCATGATGCGAGGCCCTTACACGATTAGAAATATGCCCATGATACTGAAGGAATGGCAATATGGTTTCAACCTGAAAAAGGACCTACTTAGAACATTACCAATCTGGGTCAAATTACCTCAACTTCCCCTGCATCTTTGGGGAGCAAAAAGTCTTAGTAAAATTGGAAGTGCCATTGGCAAACCACTAGTAACTGATGAATGCACAACGAACAAGTTGTGTGTCTCATATGCAAGAATATTGATTGAAGTGGATATCACACAACCATTGACTGATGAGATAACCATTAGGAATGTTGTAGGAGACATCATAATGCAGTCTTTTCAATATGAATGGCGACCAAAATTCTGTGAGACATGTTAAAAATTGGGACATAACTGTGATGACAGAGGCAAGACTCAAAAATGGATACTAAAACCCAAGCCAATGGAACCAACCACAAACATCACGCCTACCAAACAACCAGTATGAGGAGACACAACTGGTGAAGATGGAGCATCTTAGACGAAGGTGAGGAAATCTGCACGAGATAAGGGCAAAAACATACTGACTGAAACATCAAACACTTTAAACTGTGCCAATGGTTTTGAAACACTTGAGGTTTTGAATGACCATCAAGTGATCATAAACCTTGAACCATGCTAGCTTCATGGAACATAAAGGGCCTCAATAAAGTAGGCAAGATTCGTGAGATCAGGTCCCGTCTCCAAGAACTAAAGCTTGTTATAATCATTTTGATTGAAATAAAAGTTAAAGAACACAAAGCCAAGGCCATTCGAGAACAATTGAGAATTTATGAGAACTCCATAGACAACTACAAAGACCATTCAAATGGAAGGATTTGGATTCATTGGGACAGAAACAAGGTGAATATAAAACTCATACAAAGTAGCAATCAGTTTATTCATTGTGGTGTGGATGATAACAATGGAACCTTCAAATATTGGCTGACTGTAACCTATGGCCAGAACCAGTTACAACACAGAAAAACCTTGTGGAAAGAGATACAACATCTTTATGGCAACATTGAAGGCCCCTGGTGTATCATTGGAGATTTCAATAATGTAACCAAAGCACAGGACAAAATGGGAGGGAAACTGGTGATTGAGAAAGAATATGCAGACCTGAGAAACATGATGGAAAATACATGTTTACATGAGATGGATAGCATTGGAGACCACTTCACATGGTCCAATAAATAGGCAGCTGGACCCATCTACTCAAGAATTGACAGAGTTCTAGGTAACACTGAATGGTTCCTCAACAATTTGGAAACAATCTTGAAAATTCTTCCCCCAAATATCTCTGATCATGCCTTGCTATATCTGGAGAATAAAGAACAGAAGAAAACTACTAGACATTTCAAATTCAGCAACTGCCACACTGAAATACCTGGATATGAAGCCTTGGTCAAGAGAAGTTGGGAAAGCTATATTAGAGGGAGTCCAATGTATATTCTATGGCACAAACTCAAGAGGTTAAAGCATGATTTTAAAACTTTCAGCAAACCTATTTCTGATGTAAAACACAAACTGACAGCAGCCAGAACAAAGCTCAACAAAGTACAAGAGCAGTTGAATGAGGACAAAATGAATAACACCTTGATAGGGCAGGCTAAGGATCTGGTTGAGGAAGTGGTAACACTGAATGAGCATGAATGGCAGATATTACAACAAAGGGCAAAAATCGATTGGATTAGGAAGGGAGATGGAAATAACCAATATTTCTATGCTGTTATCGAAAAGAAACAGCAAGCTAATTGCCTTAACAACCTGAGAAGGAATGATGGCAATCAATTAACATCCCACAATGAAATTGAAAAAGAAGTGCTGGATTTCTATGGAAACTTGATGAGCAGAGAGGATAATAATCTTAGCCACATTGACATTGAGGCCATGAGGATGGGTAACCAATTTACCATGGAGCAGAGGGAATACCTCATCAAAAACATCATGGAGGAAGACATAACCAAAGCTCTTCGAGGAATTGGAGACCTCAAAGCACCAGGCCTAGATGGATATGGAGCCAGATTCTTCAAGGCCAGCTGGACAACCATTAAAGATGATGTGATTGCAACAATTAAGGAGTATTTTAAGACAGGTAAAATGTACAAACCCTTCAACAATGTTGTTGTTTCCCTGATAACAAAAGACAATAATGCTTGTGAGATTAAAGACTACAGACTTATAGCTGTCTGCACCACTTTTTACAAGATCATCTCCAAAATCCTGACTGACAAGCTAGGATCTGTCTTGCCTACTGTAGTGAGTCATAACCAGACTGCTTTTGTAAAAGGCCAGAAGATCCATAACCACATCATGCTTGCTATTGAACTTCTAAAGGGATACACTAGAAAAGGGGGCACACCTAGAATTATGATGCAAATAGACCTTCAAAAAGCATATGATATGGTAAGTTGGAAAGCTTTAGAAGCCATTATGAAGAAGATGGGCATTCCCCATAAGTTCATCCAATGGACCATGCTAGGCATCACCACTGTATCCTACAGATTCAACATCATGGGATAGTGCACTAAGGTGCTACCAGCAAAGCGTGGAATTCGACAGGGTGATCCACTCTCACCCATCCTTTTTGTCCTTATAATGGAATACATGAAACCGTCTACAACATTTGGAAATATAGAAATAGTGTTATTTTTGAAAATATTATAGAGAATACAACCATGGTTACAAAAATCATAGATAATGTGATTTATAGAGGTTGGCAAAACAATAGGATTAGAAAACACCTTATTAGTTTTATGATGTAATTTAGTCGTTTGGTGGGTCGGATCACCGTTTCTGTACTTGAACTGTTTTTTGAATTAATATATTTTTTCTTGATTCAAAAAAAAAAAAAAACTAATTACTAACCCTTTCTTTTGTAATAAACACTAACTTTTTTTTATAATTAAAATTAACCTTTTTTAAAATAAAAAGCTAACTCCTTTTTAAAATTAAATTTTTATTTTATTTTTTTAAAATTAAATCTTTTTTTTTTAAAACTTTTTTAAAAATCAAATCTTCTTTTTTTAACTTTTTTTTTAAATTAAATCTTTTTTTAAAATTAAATCCAATATTTTAAAAATTAAATCTAACTTTTTAAAATTAAATCTAATTCTTTTTGAAATTAAATCTTTTTTTTAACCCTTTTGTAAATTAAATTTCTAACAACTTTTTATTTTAAAATTCTAACTTTTTTTATTATTTTAAAATTTAACTTTTTTTTTTATCAAAATTTCTAACATTTTTTTTATTAAGATCCTAACACTTCTTTATTTTAAAATTCTAATTTTTTTTTCTATCAAACTTTCTTACATTTTTTATTAAGATCCTAACACTTCTTTATTTTAAAATTCTAACATTCTTTTAATTTAACCCTAATCTAAAATTTCTTTTTTTTAATTAATGGCATAAAATTCAATTTTTTTTTCTCAAAAATCTCACAAAACCCTATCTCGACTAATTCTAATTTTTGTCTAATTTTCATCCTTCATTCCTAACATCATTCTCGATTATCCAGGAACCTGTTGTTAATCGTTTCTTTATTTTTTTAAAAATAATTTTACTTGTACATTATCTGACATTATCGTTGCTATTCACAACTCTTTATTATCACTTGTATATTATCACTATCTTCATTGCGTATTTAATTTTCGCTATTTATTATTTTACCGTTAATTCTCCTCCGAAGGAAAGGTTTAACTGTTTGACCGCCGCGTCAATATTTCTTTACCCTCGTCCATTCTAGCATTGGGATCCGAGTCGCCGCACTCGTGCTTAGGTGTCATGCCGTGGACACACCCTTACCTTTTTCCTAACTTTAAGCCTTTGAGTCGCCGTACTCATGCTTAGGCGTTCTGCCGCAGACAATTTTACCCTTTACCCTAGTCTTAGGATAAGGAGTCGCCGCACTCCATGTAAGTTCCCACCGTGGAATACTTACGTCACCCTTTTTAATTCAGCTTTACAACGTAGAAGTCGGAGTTTCTGCACTCCACGTAAGCGCTTCCATATGAACGTTTACTTCCCCCTGGAACCTTGACCACAATCAAGAAGTTTCTCTTCCTCCCTCTGTGTGGGAAACTACGATTACTCTGATTCCATCCCCTACCTAAGATACGTAGGCACAAGACGCGAATCTTGGCGAGTAAACTTAGGACTAACCCCTTAGGTCTTTCTTTACCTTTAACCCTTAGCATTATCGTTAAGCAAATAACTATTAGCAATAATACATTTTAAACAAGAGGTTCCTGTAGAGTACTACAAAAGGTTAGGATGCTAATACATTCCCTAAGTTTAACCAACCCCCGAACCCTAGATCTTTCCCCGCATTGAGTTTACTATGCAAAATAGATTTTTCCTTTCTTTACCCTTTCCTTCGGATAAATCAAAGACCGGTTGTGAATCAAAGATTGTGATTCAAATTAATTAATAATTTGATATCCTATTCTCACCGCAACAGAAAATGGCGACTTCATTGGGGAGATCATATTTTTTTAGGGTTATCCCTATCTTATTTTTATGCTTGCTTTTCTTTATTATTTGCTTGTATATATTTACTTTACCTTGCTTGGGGTACCATTATTGTGAGATAAGTCCTACACCCAGACTTTAGTGAAATTATTATAGGAAGGTGATATATTTGACGAGACTTATAGGGAGTGAGTCCCGACCAAGCTGACTTGAGAATCACCGCTCAGTTGAGGCCCTCTTGAAAATTAGTACTGTTGAACGAGTATTCGTGAAAACATTCACTATTTTCGACCTAGGAGCCTATGATATTGGGGACCGTAGTTACCTTTAACCACACTTTGGCCTTATCTAGGACGTAATGCGATGACTATGAAGGAGTATTCCCAAAATAGTTGCTACGCGATACTACACTCAAAAGAGGTTCTCTTGAGAATATTATTAACCACCGAATTAGTCGGGAAATTGATAATATCTGAAAGACGGACTGATGACTTTGGGCACCTCTTTAGAATCCTTGTTCTGCAGGTACAATTAACCCTTAATACATACCTTTTGGGTGGGTAGACCTTGGCTCCGCTCATTGTCCCTCTAACCTAAGACCTTTGTGTGCTTGTGTGTGTTTGTGCATTGCATCCAGCATCATTTCATTCCTATTTCAAGGAATTCAATAGTCCTTTGCAAAAAAAAAATTTACATTTTAAAGTCTAAAACCTTTTCTAGCTTTTCCTGAAAATATTTGCAATCGACCGTTGAAATTCTTGAAACCATTTGCATTGAATTTTAGCATCATGTTTTTACATTGCAGTTCCGTCAACCTGAGTCCTCTGCATCAGTACAACACTAGAGCCCGAGCTCGGAAAAAGATGGAAGAACAAATTCAAGAGATTGATCGTGTCAGCAATGAACTCGAAGACCTTCGGGGAAGTGTGGGGCGGATTATGGAGATGCTACAGGTCATTAATGCAAAGATGGATACTCAGCCTACTATTGTTTCTGAAATCATCGGTACTATTGTGGATCCTCAACCAACCATTACTGTTGAAAATCTACCTCCTTTTGGTCTCCACCCGGTTTTGTGCCTCCTCCTGTTGTTGTTCCTATTGCTCTTGAATCTCTTGAAGATGATCAATGGATTTTTGCAATGCAAGAAGAATTAAACCAATTCGAAAGAAATCAAGTTTGGGAACTTGTTCCTAGACCAAAAGATAAACATATTATCGGAACAAGATGGGTGTTCAAGAACTAACTTGATGAGAATGGAATAATTGTTCGGAATAAAGCAAGGTTGGTGGCTCAAGGGTATAATCAAGAGGAAGGAATCAACTTTGAAGAAACATTCGCTCCGGTTGCAAGGTTAGAAGCTATTCGTTTATTACTTGCTTATGCTTGTTTAATGAATTTTCAACTTTTCCAAATGGACGTCAAAAGCGCATTTTTGAACGGATACATCAACGAAGAAGTCTATGTCAAACAACCCCCGGGTTTTGAAGACTTCAAGCATCCTTCACATGTATACAAATTGAAGAAGGCTCTCTATGGTCTAAAGCAAGCACCAAGGGCATAGTATGATCGTCTCAGCACTTTCCTATGTGATAAGGGTTTTGAAAAAGGAAAGGTTAAATTACTATGCATTTATTAGGAAAAGGTTAAATTGACTTGATTTACATGCATTTATTTGCGACTATTGTTAATTTATCTGGATTTATGTTCCATCATACGGTTAAATTACTATGTTTTGCAGATTGTGGAGAATTTGGATTAAAGAAAGAAAAGAAGAAGAAATGGAAGGAAAAAAGAGAAGAAAAACAAAAATAACAGAAGTACAGATTTTGTGCGTGTGACGCTCGTCACAGCTTCCTCACGGTCGTCACAAGACCATCATGGTTGTCACGTTCAACACGACCGTCACAAAACCATGACGACCGTCACGAGTCAAGTATCAGAATAAAACAGAAGTCTACACGACCCTCAACTAAATTTCTTCCTACACTTTCTCCACTCACTGCCCACTACTGGAAGTTACTCCCACTCCCTCCATAACTCACACATGATCTCTGGAAGTTGAGAAATGAAATATCCCCTATAAATAGACCTTAGATTCATAGTTTTTTTGGGGGGGGAGACTTCGACGTATCGAAGTGCTGCCAAAATTTATATTGAAGCCACTTTTCTTGTTTCTTTTATTTCCTTTCCTTTTTTTTTTCCTTTAGTTCAGAACATTGTAATTTCTTTATGCAATTTTATTTCGCCAAAGTAGAATCCTGCCAACATTGTGGAGGACTACTCTTCAATCTCAGTACTACTTTCCAGGTTCTTATTAATTGAATTATTATTTTATTTTCTGTCATAATGCATGTTTTATTATTTTGCGGTTTATGTTTATATCCGTTTGCATTAATTATCATGTCTAGCTAAATTAGTTTTATCGGCATGTGATCGAATTAGTAGGGTGAGATTCGATAATATCCGGTGCACCTTACCTTTTTACAAACAATCTTTCTGGCCGTAGTTTTTAGTTAAAATCTTCTAAATAAACCTTCGTCGCGAAAGCGAGAAATTATTTACAGTAGTTTCGCCACGACAGTGGGAAATTCATTAAGGCACGAACCGGCACGCGAAAGCTGGGGTTCAAACCAGATAGTAAGAACTAAGCATTTATTTTAAATACAGCGAAAACGCTTTAAAAGAAATCAGAACTTACTTATTTTCAAAGAGTAATTTAAACCCCGAATGGGACTGCGAGAGCGTACATTCCGCCTTAGAATTATGACCCGAGTCAACAACCATCGTGAGGCAAAGGTCTTTAAACGGGTATTTTCTCCTGAAAATCATTTGCAAAAACTGTAAAGCACCAACGACCTGTCGAATCCCCGATAACTAAGGCATTGCATACCGATATCCCTTATTAATATATTTCTAAAACTAAAAATCTTTATTTCTTTTATTTTTAATTTCGTTCGCATTTAACTTTCCAAATTCCATTAGCCTTAGCTTTACGTCGTGACAATAGATAACGGTAGGTTGACATTGGTCTCTGTGGGTTCGACAATCTTTTATATTACTTTGATATTTCCGTGCGCTTGCGGACGCATCAAGTTTTTGGCGCCGTTGCCAGGGACCAACAGTCAATATTGTGATTCCATTGTTGCATAGTATAGACAAAGACACTCTTATCTAAATCACTATGTATAACCCATATTTCCCTTATAACTACCACCCCTAATATTATAACTACCACCCCCAATATTTTGAGGAACCACAAGATCCGCCTAAATTTGACCTCGAAATATTATTAGAAGATTTCAATACGACGCATTCTTACCCAAATTCCCTCTACAATAACCACTCTCAATATTGTGAGGAGCTGCAAGATTTTGATACATCCAACCTCGAACTACTACTAGAAGAATTCGATGCGACGCTTACTCACTCTAGGATAGAATCTATGATGGAACGCTTCGCGGAGACACACACTCTCCAAAATGAAGATTTTAGAAAACAACATCTCCAAATCAATGAAAATCTCAAGCAGATGAGCAATATGGTCGATTCCCTTGCAACTCGCAGCGAGACTTTGGAGATTCAAACCTCCCTGCTTACACTAACACCTCTAGGACCCTTCCCAGAAGGACATGCGAATGTTGTAACAACCATTAATGAAGAACGATTAGAAAATCCTAGGGAGAGAGATCATGAGTCTGAGGAGAGTTTTGGTGAGAAAAACATGATTATTGAGAAAAATCCACCAACACCACCCAAAAGGGAGGTTGTCGAAAAGGTAGAGAAGGAAACACCTATTGTTGCTCCTCCTCCTTATAACCCACCTAATTCTTTCTCACAATTGGCTGTGGAAGCTAAGGTAGACTCCCAATCCAAAATATATGTGGAAGTATTAGAAAATATCCAGACCAATGCACCTTTGTCTAAGGTCCTAGATGTCATCATGACGGAGGCACACGAGACATTGTTGTACCAAAGACATCGTCGAAGGACAAAGAGGATTGATAGTCGAGGAGGTAGACGAGACATAAGAGATAGAAGAGAGGTAGTGATAAGATGGTGGCTAAAAAACATGTAGGATGCATTAAAAAATGCTCCTAAAAAATATAAGAAATAAGGAAAGAAAAAGAAAAAGGATATCCGGTTGAAGTGATCCGACCCGGTGAAGAATACAAAAACCCTAAAACGAAGTGAGAATTGAAGCATCTGTCTCCCCGCCGCTCGCATAGTACTGTAAGTATTACTAACATCTCTTGTCTGCTCTCATTTTCATTCTCATAATTGATTCATTTCTGTTCATCAGATCTTAAAGTAGAGCGGCACAATCAACTAAGCCATGGCTCTGGTAAGTCCAACCACTCAGTAAGGGTTCACTACTTTTCTAATAATGATCTAATTGGTTGCAACATATTATTGTAGATCCTGCATACTGGCCAAGGAAACAAAAATGCTTACAAAGCACTCATTGCTGCTGAGTATGCTTCTGTTCAAGTCCAATACGCCCCTAATTTTGAGTTTGGTGTCTCTAATAAAACTCCTCAATTTCTCGCCATGAATCCTCTTGGCAAAGTTCCTGTTTTGGAAACCCCACACGGTCCTGTCTTTGAGAGCAATTCTATTGCTCGCTATGTTGCCCGATCCAAGGATGACAACACTCTCTATGGATCTTCTTTGATCGAATATGTAACCCTTTCTCCCTCTCAATTAATCTCTCTCTTTTACTATATATATGTAACTAATTTCATCGTGTTTTGACATTTCAGGCTCAAGTTGAACAATGGATTGATTTTTCATCTTTTGAGCTTGATTCCAATATTCAGAGGTGGTACTACCCTAGATTTGGATATGGAACATACTTTCCTCCGGTACTTATCACATCATTCTATTATGTTTCCAATTAATCACCCAAACTATTTGTTTGATTTTGAAGGCCAATTAATCACCCAAATTATTTGTTTGATTTTGAAGGCCGAGGAGGCTGCAATTACTGCCGTGAAGAGAGCATTGACTGCTTTGAACACTCACCTTGCCTCCAATACTTACTTGGTTGGCCATTCTGTCACTCTAGCTGACATCATTATGATAAGCAATTTGTATTTTGCTTTCACTAGAATCCTGGTCAAGACCTTCACCTCTGAGTATCCTCATGTCGAGAGATACTTCTGGACTTTGGTCAACCAGCCAAACTTCCGCAAGATATTAGGCCAGGTCAAGCAGGTTGAAGCTGTACTGCCCGTTCAATCTGCAAAGAAGCCTGCCCAGCCAAAGGACTCTAAGCCCAAGGACCAACCGAAGAAGGTTGCAGAAAAGCCCAAGGAACCAGAGGCAGAAGAGGAGGAGGCGCCCAAGCCCAAACCCAAGAATCCACTTGATCTCCTTCCTCCTAGTAAGATGGTTCTGGATGACTGGAAAAGACTTTACTCAAACACTAAAACCAACTTCAGGGAGGTTGCAATCAAAGGTATTGTTGTTATTGTGTTCCCTTTGGGGTCATTGTCAAGGATTACTATTGTAGAAATTTGTTGTTCTGAATATGTCATAGATAAGATCAATTAAAAAAAAGCTTTTTCCTATCTTGCAGGATTTTGGGATATGTATGATCCTGAAGGATACTCTCTCTGGTTCTGTGATTACAAATACCAAGATGAGAACACTGTTTCCTTTGTGACTTTGAACAAGGTTGGTGGATTTCTTCAGCGGATGGATTTGGCCCGCAAGTATGCATTTGGTAAGATGCTTATAATTGGATCTGAGCCACCTTTTAAGGTGAAGGGACTGTGGCTTTTCCGCGGGCAAGAAATCCCAAAGTTTGTGATGGAGGAATGCTATGACATGGAGCTGTATGAATGGACTAAGGTGGACATATCAGATGAGGCTCAAAAGGAGAGGGTCAGTCAGATGATTGAAGATTTCGAACCTTTTGAGGGGGAGTCTCTTTTGGATGCCAAGTGCTTCAAGTGATCATTTATTACATGCAAGGTTATTATTATGCTTGTCTTTGTTGTTGCTATAGTTTAGTTTCTTTGCTATCTCAGTTTTTGGGAAGTTCAAGCCGATACTTGATTTCAGACATTTAAGCCTAGGTGATTTTTTCACCATAGTTTTCATTTTTGCAAGGCAAGACTAGTATTTTTTTTTCCAGCATGTATGAAAAATTCTGGATTCAGTGTGTTTTTTGGTCCCCTGTTTTGGTACATGGTTCCAAGGTTTTTTATTTTATTTTTAATAAAGAAAATTTACGGAAGACTTACAAAGTAGGCTAACATGATTGAATTTATTTATTTATTTATATTTTTATCACTAGTCTCTAGACCAACCACTTAAAGTTTTGATGAGATATATTTATTACAAATATTAAAAGAAAATAAATACTTTTTACGTTTATTACTTGAGAATTTAAAACTCATTTTTTCAATAAAACAAAACTTGTATATTTTCAAATCAAAAGGTTTTTGTGGCTTGATGATACATTAAGTCAATTTTTAAAATATGATTCTTAGGTATAATGTGAAAATTTAGAAATGTCCATATTTTTTTTGGAGATGTAATTTCCTATGTACTTTAACACGCAATCAATAAAGGCTATTTTAAGTGATGTTTTATTATTTAATTTTTTTTAGAGATGTATCTCAGAATGTTTAGTTATATTTTTATAACACAGACATAGCATAATAAAAAAAATGTAACATAGATACATAATGTCTCTATTTTTTCTTTTGGTGTTAGTCAATGAGTTATAATTTTGTTAAAAAAAGGTGACTAGATTAGCGGTGCACACGTGATAATGTTGATTTGGTTAACAACGTTGATGTGGCAATTTTTTTCTTCAATTTTTTAATTCCCTGAATTCCATGTCAGTTATTATTATTATTATTATTTTTATTTTATTTGATGATAAATCTTAAAATGCAAAGTTTAAAAATTGGTCCTAAGAAGAGTTGGAACCCATGACCATAACATTCACATGTAATACATAACCATTAAACCACTTGTGTTTTTTATTTTATATTTGAAATGCATACGTAAATATTACATAATGGGAAAGATAACTAAATTCAAAAATGAAATGATTTCGCAATATGAACTTCTTCCTCTCCTCTAATATATGAATATTGATGTTCAACTGAGAGATCATGCACTTACAACCCAAATTTTCTTAAACCAATTTTCTTAAACCAAATTGACCTTGTATTTCATCTCTCTCATATTGTTGTCATATGTGTATATACATATGTGAGTGTCTTTATTTTGGAAAATGCTTCATCACCATGCATACATAAAAATCACATTGGTACTTTAAAAAATAAAAAATTTAAATCTGGTTTCAAAAACAAACATGAAGATGAAGCTTTAATGAAAGATGATGGTGAAAACTGTGAGAGAAAGAGTAAATAATAAAGTTACATAATTAAACAACTAAAGATGATTATGTTTTGAAATGGTGGAACACTAAATAAAAATACATGAATACCTCATAATCAAACACATATGTTCTCATAGATCTAAAAAAATTACGGATTTGTATGAAGGCTGAACATGAAGATATGAATTCAAACCCAGAATTAGGGACTGAAAAAAAAAAATTAGGTCACCTGAACTAAAACAAAAAACACGCCAATTTATAGGGATGAAAAGAAAATTTAATCCAAAATTTTGAGTTTGTATTCATATCTTCATCCCTAACCATCATACAAACCCTGAATTTTTTCAAATCCAAAATTATTTCTTGTTTTTCCTTTTCATAAAAATAATTTCTCACGCTTCTATCATGGCCAAAGACTACCATTGTACAATAAAAATCCACCACCATATAAGCAACCAAACCTTCATATAAGCAACCCAAAATTAAGGTGCAGATGAAGAACAAGCATTGCAAATGAAGGACACTTCAACACTTGTTTAGTGTGAAATATTTTCTATTGTTGTTTGTAACAATAAATACAATAATCAAATAGATCAAACTTTAACAACATATCCAATATTCAAATGGATTTAATCCTAACAACAGATCTGGATGAGAAGAAAAACAAGAATGCAATGGTATTGAAGTGAAGAAAAAAATGCAATGGTATTGAAGAGATGAAAAAGAAGACAATGGTATTGAAGAGAGGAAGAAGAAGTTGCAGAAATCAATTTTAAACATCAACTTTTAAATATATAAATTTCGGTGCATATAATAAATAAATGTGTTGGTTGGTCTAGTGGTTATGTATTACCACACGAATGCTATTGTCGTTATGGGTTCAACTCTTCTCGGGACCATTTTTTAAATTTTGCATTTTAGGATTTAACATCAAAACAAAAAACAATAATAAAAAAATTTGACGTGGAATACTAGGTATTAAAAAATGGAAAAAGAAAAAAATAGCCTGCCACATCAACATTGTTAACCAAGTCAGCATTGCCACGTGCACACTATTAGTTCAGTCACATTTTTTTAACAGAATTCTAACCCCATGGACTAATGCCAACACAAAAGTGAGATATAGGGACTCAGACAAAAAAAAGATACAGGGACCAAATTCAAAAACTCGCTAACTTACCGGGATCAATAGACTATTTAAGCCAATAAATTTAGGATTACATAGATCATTTCAACATAAAATGCAACATTACTTCAATATCTAGGTGGACGCTTCAACATCTTCGACCGATCTTGAAATCTTCGTTTTCAACTCGAGCGGAACTTTTGTTTCGAAATGGAAATATGTATTCCACACAGCCCTTACATCTAATTGCATCTTGAGATCATATTTGCTGAACTCAATCTTCCATCTGTTGTCCATCAATGGTGAACGATACTCGAGTTCGCAATCCTTCGATTGTCTCTGTAAGGTAGGAGATTATGGATTTCGTCTTTGATATCTTCGAGAGAGGTATACTCAATGAGATTAAACGTTCTCCTGGGTGTAGAGCTGAAAAAGGAGACATTTGTGATATAGCAGTTGATGTTTATTTGTGACATTTGAGACATTTTTAGTTTGTGTGAAATATATATAAGATCACCTTAATTTATAGAAGCCATAGATCAATATGGACAACTCAATAATTGACATGCTAATTCCGGAGATATATCTCCGATTCCACAACCTAGTATCTTATTTCAGAGATGAATCTCCGGAACCTCTCCTGAACCAGCTCCTAAATAAAATCTTTAAAACAAACCTTATATTTTTACAAAAAACAAATGTTGTTATTGGGAAGATAAAAAATGCATTAAGACACATTATGAACAAATGTTGAATATATTACACTTCATTTATATTGAGACACAACTACATACACTTATTTGTCTAGATAAACAAGAAATTAAAATAAACCGAAACATATGTCACTGGCTAAATCTATGGATGGTACCCCCTTGTATTTTTGCACATTTGATTCTCTTTCAATGTTGGTCAATTTCTCGAACTCTTGCATCCTTTCCTTAAAATGATTGGGTCAAGTCTCGACTTTTGTTGTTGAACGAGCCATCCACTCTAGTGATGTAAGTTGTACAAGGCATCTCACTTTGAAGTAAACTTGAACAAAATGACTTGATTTTGAAAGCCATCCATTATTTCTTCCACAACTACACTCGCCTTCTCCATTTTTCCATCTTCAGACTCTATCTATTTCATCCCTACCACAGATTTAACCCGACTTCTCACATTCTTTGTCATGTGATACCTACAAAGTAATGCATTAGAAAAAGGAAATACCTTTGCAACCGAATTTTTTAAGGTTGTATCGCGGTCGGTAACAATCACTTTAGGCACCTCACCTTGGTCCTTCAACAGTGTCCGACACACCTCTAAGACCCAAGTAAGATTGTTCTCTTTTTCACACTCAAGAAATGTAAACCCAATAAAATATGTTTTCTCAGTTGAGGTAACACCAACCATCTTCAATAATGGAAGTCTAAACCTGTTGGTTTTGTAAGTTGAATCAAGTATGAGCACACTAGGAAACATGATGCACAATTTTATGGAATAAGGATGAGTCCAAAATATATCTCTAATAGTAACTCCATCCTCGCACATTCGGTACCTAGACACGTAACTGTTATCATCCAACAGTTTCAAGAGTTATTGCATTTTAATTCGACCCCTGTAAGCGCCTTGTTAGTTAGGTATCAAATATTATATACTTACTTGATATTTGATATATTTTCAGGTCTTTTCTGTTTCAATGTTGCAAGTATATTTTTCGATTGAACCAAATTCAATGCCATGTCAACAACACACTTCTTCTCTTTTGGCATGAGCCGACACACATTAGGATGTCCGATTATTTTTTCACACAAATCATGGTTATGCTAACCACATATGTCATTAAATCTCCAGTTTTTGTTTGCCAACATGTAAGCAAACACCTTAAATAAACACACACATTTTCTTGAATCAGCGTCGCCTATTTTAAAATTTTGGAGATAGTTCTATATTTTCCGCTTCTTTCACATGTCATTGTCTGAAAAGCGCATCTACTATCCGAATCATTGTCGGACCTTCCAATAACCACATCGAATTCCAGTTTAGAGGCCTCCATACGAATCCATTGAAGCATTTGATCATGAGATTCAAACTCTTACTCATTTTTAAATTAGTTGCCAACATCTACCGCCTTCACAACAACACCTTGGACATCGGAAAAACAATTTGTTTTGGGAAAACATCGGGGTGCACCATATCTAATAAAAATAATTACAACATAACAATATATAAGCACCATTTCTAAAAACAGAGTTGGAAAATGAGCACATACAAGTTCCTAAAATGGATTTTAGGAAAAGTTCATACTCGTTCTGGAGATACATTTTCGGACACAATGCTCGTTTTTTCAGACAAAATGCATGATTAGTGTGAGCAATGCAGTGTGAAATAAATGATATTTACCTGAAATTCTAACCTGTTTTGCTCCTGTTGATGTGATGAACCACAGGATTGGAGATTTGGAGTGGAAAATGGATTGAGAATGAAGTG